TAACTAATTCTGATCTTAATTTACATTTCTCTGATTTATGAGAGGCATATATATGTTACACACACACGTATTCTGGCTACCAATTCTTTGTTTTCTTTGGGAGAGGAGATTCAATCGTTCCTATATGCCATTTTTAAACCAAGTATAATTTCTACCACTTTATCAAAATTTGACTAAAAACTTTGGCATGATCTTTCAGAATTTCTAGTGCTGATGTTGAAATTCTTCCTACTTTTAAAATATAGTAGAAGTGGATTCCGATGTCTCTCTCAAAGCCACTGGTTTTCTCGCAGACTGAAGGTGCGGAATGGCTTTCGGGCCACCGTGCTGGGGAGCAGTGCGGTGGCGCAGTCCCCAAGCGCTGCCGGAGGGGACAGGGGTCTGCCCACCGGACGTGCACTCCAGCCTCACCACCGGGTTTAACAGGAGGCGAAGCGTCACCAGTACCAAAGTGCAGAAAGAGAATGGCCAAGAGAAGATAATATAATTTTCCTGTTGCCTAATACTATGTTTTGATTGTTTTCCTCATTAAAAAGAGTAAATATAAAGCAAAGCACATGGGGATGCCATGCAGACAGAGATGCAAGGTTTGAGCTGAGTGACCTGCATGCTCAGTCCTGCAAGGTAGCACTGATGGTGCAGAACTCACTTTACTATGGCAGTTGATTCCACTGGTTGTGCAATAAATATTCTTACAAAATGTTTGATACCAGTCAGATACCCTGACTGGCAGACAGGCACCAAAACCTGGAGAGCCATGGGTTCTGGTGCAGAAGGTCCAGTGAAAGTGGGAAGAGAGAAAAGAAGGTCGGCAAAGAGAGACATTACTCACTGTGTGTGCTTTCGGCCCTCAGCTGTGGCCATCCTTGCAGAGAATGTTAGAAAACTAGAAAAGCAATCTGTGATAGTGTTAGCTTGTGCCTCCTCATCTGTGTAGCCTTGAGCATATAGGTGTTTCCATATATTTTGCTTACAACCTTTAATTTTTTTTTATTATTTGTGTCAAATATTTTTTTTTCCTGATACACACCCATACTTATGGAAAACAGAACACTTACAGAAAATGCCTGGATTGTGTATTCTGTAAATTAAAAAAAATAAGAATGCAAGGAGATAAGTATATACTAGGAACAGAAATAGTGTCAGCTTTGTCAGGAAAAACCAGAGCTTACTGAAATAGAAACAATGATATCTTTTTGATGAAAAGTCTTCTTTTCATTTGGCTAAATTCCAAGTAGTAAGATTGCTGGATCAAATGGGAGATCTACTTTTAGTTCTTTGAGGAATCACCATTCTGTTTTCCATAGGGTTGAACTAATTTGCAGTCCCACCAACAGTGTATAAGCATTCCTTTCTCTCTGCATCCACGTCAGCATCTGTTGTATTTGGACTTTTTAATAAAAGTCATTCTAACTGGGGTAAGGTGATGATATCTCACTGTGATTCTAATTTTCCCTGATGATTAGTGTCGTTGAGCATTTTTTTCATATGTCTATCTTCTTTTGAAAAGTTTCTGTTCATGTTTTTTGCCTACTTTTATGGGATAAAATATTCACATGCTATACATCTGATAAAGAGTTAAAAACCAGAATCTATAGAGAACTCAAGCAAATCAGCATGGAAATTCTTGGTTTTAAAGAAAAACTAAAACAAAGATCCAAGCAGTGATGTAACTTTAATATGGAAAGTAAAATCTCATGCATCACATACTTGTTTTAAAGTTAGAATCATTGATTTCTAAAAGCCAAGTTAAACTATTTGACATGCACATCTATTCATAGAACTAAATGAAAATCAGTCTTTGCTGAGGTTCACTGTAAGAAGATCCTGGTAACCACTGATGCCAGTTAAATACAGATAGTTGCATTTAAGTAATTGTTAAAAAAATTTAACTACTGCTTAATTTGCTAGTTGGAACAGATTTGTGATTCTTAAAGAAAGTCATAGGTAGATTGATTGTCTTTATATTTCTACCAAGTAGGTAGAAATATTCTGTGCCACTGATAATCATTTTTTTCTTAATTGGTTATCATTAAAATTACAATTTTAGTTAAGTGTATGAATTATTTGCTACTCTAAGATAAGGTTTGAACATTTGCATTTTTACTGTACATGTCTTAATAAGAAATGTGGAGGAACAGAATCAAAGACTATGTCAACTGAAGAATGTTCAGGTTTGTACATTTGGAAAATAGAGCATTATTTGTGATAAAGGATTGTAGCCTGCAGAGTGGCCATTCTGACAGGCTGGGAAGCAGTACTCCTGGGCAGAAGCTGGGCGCTTGTACTTTTTGAGGGAATGGAAAAGGACAGGGGACAGTAATTTATCCTGAGCAAGGTGGCCAAATATTTATATTTCACAAGCTATATATATGCATGTGCCTGAAAGGAGAAACAGGCACAAGCACACGTGAGCTTCATGGCCCTTCATGTACCAAAAACAGTGGCATTGGCGTGATCCGGGGGTGTTTTCATCCCTCTGATGTCAAAGAGTGAAGCAGAGGACACAAACCCCTCCCTGCTCACGCTCCCACAGCGGCCAGAGCCAGGCCGCCCGCAGGGCTCCCTCCCAGGAGGGCGCAGGGCGGCGGTGTGGCTTTGGGCGCGGTGGTTGGGGCGGCGTTGGGGGGCGGCGTTTGGGCGGCGTTGGCGGCGGTTGGCCGCAAGGCCGGCCGGTGGCGTTGGCGCTGCTGTTGCGGCGGGGTTGAGGCCAGGGCGGCCGCGTGGTTGCCGCGGCGGTTTGGCTGCGGGGCGTTGGGCGGCGGTTGGGCGGGCGGTTGGGGGCCGGGATGGGCGGCGTTGGGCCGGCGGGTTGGGCCGGCGGTTGGGCGGGCCGTTGGCGGCGGTTGGGCGGCGGGTTGGGCGTCGGCGGCATGGGGCGGCGGTTGCGCGGCGCGGCGGTTGGGCGGCGGTTGGCCGGCGGTTGGGCGGCGGATTGGGGCGGCGGATGGGGCGCGGCGGTTGGCGCGGGTTGGGCGGCGGTGGGCAGCGTGGTTGGCGGCGGGCGGTTGGGCGGCGGTTGCGCGTTTGAGAATGGCGGCGGAAATGGGCCGACGGGTCTGGCGCGCGCGAGCTTTGGGCGGCGGACTTGGCGGCGGGTTGGGGCGCGGTTGGGGCGGCCTGCGCGTGGGCCTGCGCAGCCTTAGGGGCGAGCCGGGGCCACCGCGGCCCCAGCCAGCAGGGAGGCGGGTCTGGCCGCCCATTGTCCGGGCTGGGATTTCAATTGTAAGGTTTCTCCGGGTGCCCTTGGCCAGAGGGGTCAGTTCAGCTGGTTGGGGGCTTCGGATTTTATTTTCAGTTCTGAACTGTTGTTAATAGATGCCATATGAAACATAAATTTTGCTTTTCCTATGCGTTAAATACACATTTCCCTTAGTACTCCAGTCGTATTTTTGTATTATTATTGCTTTTCTAAGAATAAAATAAATCATGAAGTATCTATTATATAAGTAAAAGCTGGGGCATTACATTTGTAGTATTCTACTACTATAAATTTTCAATTTGCTCATATATGAAGACTATTTTCCGATATTTTAAACACTGCAGTGAATACTTTTTTTCATACTGAAATTTCTCTTCCTTTCATCTTTTTTCCTCTAGCATCATCTAAGCTTTCGTTTTGTAGGTAACACAAGGTTCCCAATCATTCCCCCACAGCTGCGTGAGAACGGAAAAGCGGTCCTCGCTGCTTCTCCTTGCCCGCCAGCGCGCTCGAGGCGGGCGTCGCCGACCGGCGCCGCAGCTTGGCCTGCACACGTGCTGCGGTACCATTTGAGGAGACACGTCAAAATCAAGTTGTTATTAATAGAAATAACATGCTACAATTTCAAATACAATGAAAATTGCTGGGCTCTACTTTCTCAAAACCAAATATATTCTTAAATTGAGGCAATTTTCAAGAAAAAAATAGAGAAAAACAACCTGTTGAGATAATTTAGACATTTTCTTAAAATAATGTGAATCATTGCCTCATTTGTGGCCTTATTTGACTCAAAAATTATATAAAATTTAGCCTTAGAGCTGATCAGTATTGGTTGCTTTAACTTTCTGTCACACAGGAAAAATTTTACTAAGGAAAGTTATTGACATTTCTACTAGTTTCACATCAGAAAAGATAAACTTTTCTAATTTTCTTCATTAACTGACTTTTTAATCAACCTTTACAATGACTTTAGCTAATCATAAAAGTAGTAACATAATTAAATAATTACAAATGCAATTATTTGGGTAATTTACCTTTGGAAAACAAGAATTATAGTCATGGATTCATTGAGTCAAATTTAAAAGTGGAATATTTCTAGCAATGAGATTTTTGAGGTATTTTATTCAAGGAATAAACTATTTTTAGAGGAAATTTTAGAAGAAACATATTTATTATAAAAGCTTTTTCTTTTTATGTAAACAAAATTTAACTCTCAATAGGTACATTCTATTTTCAATAGTTATTCCTATTGGAATGGCAAAGAATGAAAAAGCAACGCCTATCACTTCTTTTAACTCTGTGGCATTACAGTTGTATTCTAAACTATTGTTTCTTTACATTTTCCTTCATCTGAATTGTCTCCAAAATATCCTTATCTAAATATATTATAATATTTGATAAAATTATGTTTTATTATGTGGATCACCAAACTGGATATTACATCGAAGTTACAGTCTGGTTGTCCTGAACACAGGGGGAGTATTATTTCCCTTGAGTTGGACACAGTTTTGTTAAGGTCTAAAATGTACCACATTTATTTCTAAAACTGTTTAAGCAATCTAGAAAAATATTTAGCAATTATTATTTTAAGAGTTAAAATCAAAGAGAGTGATAAAAATTTTATAAAATATGTAATTTATAAGCATCAGTTTGATGTTTTTAATTTTTATTGAAAAATATTTAATTGAGAAATAAAAATTGCATATATTCAAGATATACACATGATTATATATATATATATACACACACACATACACACACACATTATGCACTGATTACCACAGTCAAATTAATTAACACTATCGTCACCACCCATACATGGTTACCATTTTTTGTGTGTGGTGAAGTGACTTAAAATATGCTCTCTTACCAAATTCCAAGTAAACAACACAGGGTTATAAACTGTAGTCACTATATTGTGCATTACTTCCTCAGAACTTCCTCATTTTATAACTGTAAGTTTGTAACTTTGGACCACATATCTCCATGTATGTCACCCTCCAGTCTCCCGAAACCACTGTTCTACTCTCTGCTTCTATGAGTTTGACGTTTTTAGATTACACAAATAAGTGAGATCACACAGTTTTTGCCCTTCTGTGCCTGGCTTATTACACTTAGCATAATGTCCTCCAGCTTTGTCCATGCTGTCACAGTTGGCAGGATTCCTTTCTTTTTGTGCTGAATAATATTCCATTGTGTACATACATTACATTTTCTTTATCCACTTATCCTTCCATGGGCACATAGGTGCTTTCCATATCTCGGCTATTGTAAACAATACTGCAGTGAACAATGAAGTGCAGGTGTCTTTTTTACATAGCTAGAGATACTTCGTTTCCTTTGGATCCACACCCAGAAGTAGGATTGCTGGATCAAATGGTAATTCTATTTTTAATTTTTTAATACTATTTTCCATAATGGCTGTGCTAATTTATATTCCCACCAACAGTGGGAAGGACTGCCCTTTTCTCCACACCCTCACCAACACTTATCTTTTGTTTTATGAAAATAGCCATCTTAATAGGTATGAGGTGATTTCTCACTGGAGTTTTGATTTTCATGTCTTCCTTGGAAAAATGCCTATTTAAGTTCTTTGCCTATTTTTAGATCAGGTTATTTGATATGTATGTATGTATGTATTTATTGCAATTGACTTTTATGAATATCTTATATATTTCAGACAATAACGCCTTAGGAGATTTATGAGTTATAAATATTTCTCCCATTCAGTAGGTTGCCTTTCCATTTGTTAATTCTTTCCTTTGCTGGGCAGAAGCTTTTTAGTTCAATGCAGTACCACCTGCTTATTTTTGCTTTTGTTGCTTGTGCTTTGGTGTCACTTCTAAAAAATCACCGGAGATGTGTCAAGGAACTTTTTCCTTGTGTTTTCAACAAGGAATTTTATAGTTGTAGGTCATACAATTAAGTGTTTAATCCGTTTTGAGTTAATTTTTGCTTATGGTGTAAAACAAGGGTCCAATTTCATTCTTTTGCATGTGAATAGTCAGTTTTTTCAGCACCATTATTGTGGAGACTATACTTTCTCTGTTTATATATTTTTAGCACCCTCATCAAAGGCATTTATTTTCTTCCTCATGGTTGTGACCACACACTCTGCTTACTGCCCCCAATCATTGGTGAGATTTCTATTATTATTGTTGCTTTCTTTCTTGATCTCAAGGCCTCTTTGTCAAAATGGTCATAAGCCCACACAGCCAGTGTGTGGGAGAACCTTGGCCAGGGAAAAGGTAGGGTTCAGTATGTGCGTCAGCTGAGACACAGTGAGAGGGTGAAAGCAAAATCCAGGAAACAGGAGAAATGTACTACTCACAGGTCCCACAGAGGGTGAGGGCACTGACGTGGGGCTGACAGGACACCTAAAGATGGCCAGGAGTTCGAGCAGTAGGTAGGAAGTGGGAGACGAAGAGAAAATCTGTAGGACTAGGCCTTTATTAAGGTCCATCCCTGTGGGTGTGGTGGATTGGTTGGTGTAAAGAAAACATGTGAGAAAAGGGGAACTTATTCACATGACTCTGTGCTTGACCATTAGGTTTCCTCGTGGTCAGCAGCTGTTTTGGGTTTTGAGTCCACGAGATAAGGAGCATCCATGCAAGGAGGGGAAGTTTTAACCAGGCTAAAGGTGATGGGGAACAAACGGGTTTGAAACATCCTAAGTTAGGACTAAAAATGGATACTGAGGCAGCAGCTATATTGAAAAATATGACACAAAAATATGACAAAGCTGTGATATTAATGATCTGATCTAAGAAGATAAGCTCATAAAAGAAAAAAAGGGGGAACATTAGCTATAAATACATAAAAAGTTAAAACAGAAAACATGGTAGTTTAGATCAAATTGAAGAATATTTTAGAAATTAGAAATATCAGATTGAGGAATTCTTCTAGAAGGCAGCAGAAAAGTAAAGACATGAAAAATATATATATTTTTAAAAATCAAGCTTGAGGGAATGGATGGATAGTTAAAAATGTGCTAAGGAAAATACAACAATGTTTTAATTTTAGAACCCAAATGGATAACACAAGTGTGTACACCTGGCAATGTTTTCAAACCAATGTTCATTTGATTGCAAATATGCATAATAAATTTTGAAGAGAAAAAGAAGAATTTATGTGAGGAATTTAAGCCAATATCTGGGTAATAGGATTTTCAGTTACAGAATATTTTTAGGAGAAAATGTGTTAATAAATAATGGAAATATATAGATAAATATGATAAAGTTTATTAAATATGTAAAATCTTAGATTAAAAGATAGAAATCAACATCAGTGAAAAAAAATTTATAAAGTTTCCAGAGAGAAAGGAAGGGCAAAATACCAATCAAAGAATAAGGTCAGATTAACATCCGTACTCTATCAATACATTAAGTATAAGAGATCACTGGGGAAATATTTTTAGTCACTAAAAAATAATCTTATAATTTTATTTCAAGCTAATTGTCATTTCAATGTGAGGTAATAAAATTATTCTCAAGCAGAAAAAGCCTCAGAAAATTTACCATATGAAGATATAAAACTTTGCCCTATGTCCAAAGACATTGAAAATATCCTTGGAAAAAGTATTTAAATAAGGAGAGAAACATACACAGGAGATGCTACAAATCGTTATGGTAAGAGTAATCACCTATCATGATAAAGTATATTTTTATAATTTGCTAGAAAATAAACTCACATGTCACATAGTAAAATGCCTTTATAATTGGTTACTATCTGAGAGGCAAAGGCCTACTAGACTTCCTCTCCCAGAACTTGGCTCACAATGATTGCTGCATAGATAGGTATTTAGTGAGTGATTTGAAAATAAAATTCTAAGAAAGTTAAAAAATTTTACATCTGTTTATTCAAGTCAATTAAAAGAGCTATTAATGAACAACAGTGCCTAGCATGCTGCCCCACTCTTAATAAGTATGCAGTGAGTATTGGAGAATGACCGAATGAGTGACAGACCCACCAAATTTATGAGTGAACACAAAGACTGATATTTTTAAAAAGCAATGCAGCATTCAGAATATGGTATGAATGCAAAGGGAACACCTGAACAGCAGACAAGGGGATGGCTGTGAATCAATCATTTTGTTTAATTATTGGTATAAAATGAGGTAAAAGACTAAATAGGTTCATATATAATTGAAAATTAGTACAACTATCTAGCCATAGTGAAGTGTTGTTTATTATTTTAAAAATCCTCTAAACTTTGCAAAGCATATTGCATACAAAATTCAGCATTTATTTTATCACATTACTGACTTGTTTTAATCAGTAAGTCTATTATGTTTATGTCCCAACGTATGTCCAACTTGACAGCTATTGTGTGAACATGAAGTTCACACACAGATTTTCAATCTCAAAGATGCTGAACAGTAATAAACCCTATAAGGAAATAAGCATTATGAAACATCATCTTGAAAATCCAAAAATATAAATTAACTAATCTGCTCAATAGATTCCAAATATAATTGGAAACTCCAATCTGATTTTGACCAGCTAAAAAGTATTCCCTACAACTTGCCAGTTTTCCTAACCATGCATACACTAAAATGAGACATTTGAACACGATTATAACACAGTTTTGACATTTAAATTTAAACAGATTAACAGCGGTGGCTACATGCTTAGTAGTACTAATCCCCAAATTGGTCTGTCATTCAAATGAGCAAAGACTAATCAGGACATATAACAAGGGACCAGCAAAGAATGCCCAGCACGGTGCTAAAATCATCATTCAACAATGTCCATCTCTACACCCGAAGTGCCCCTATAAAGAGCGATCATTTATTTTATCCACTCTTAGGTGTACCTAATTATGCAATTTAGACATAGGGAAATATCCCAAAGTCATTTTAGTAGAAAAATAATGGGTATAGATGAGTAGCTTTATTAGCTTTAGGGAAATAAAAAATCAAAATGATTCTGAGAGTAGGCAGTCTCCATCCTCTGCACAGGAGTTAGCGACAGGTGCCTTGCAATGAATTACCCTAGACAAATTATGTAACCATTCAAATCCACTGTAAACCTGCCTGAAGGATCTGTCTAGCCTGCTTGTATTTCTTTAGCTCCCACTGATGTCTTCCATAGTTTGTGAGCCAGTCTAGCCACCAAATCACCAGGGACGGTTTAATGGTGAGTGTGAAATCACTACCCGCAGCCTTCCCCTGTAACCTCAGCTACCTAATGCTACAGACAGAGCAGAGAAAAACTGCGAAAGAAGATGGCATTGCGCTTTCATGCCATTAGTCCTGCATTGAAAATTTAATTTCTGATCATATCAAGTTTACCTGAATCTTGGATTTATTAATATAATGTCCCTATACTCAACAAATCAAGCACTCATTTCAAGAGGATGAGTTATGTATAAGCAAATCATTCAAGGGATAAGGTTAACTTTTAAAAAAATGTCTTTAAAGTTTCTACTTAGAAACTTTCACTTTGGTGGCAATTTGCTCAGAAAAGTCAGAAATAAGCTACAAACAACAGAAAAAGATGACAGTGTAATATGAGTTTTTAAAAATATCACTTGTAGTTGATCCAGAAAAAAGAAAATTTTCCCCAATACCTCCCTAGGAGGTCTTGCTTACAATAGAATAAATGTTAAGTCTGTCTCATTCTTTATAAGTCTTTATAAGTCCATCATTTTCAAATTTCAGGCCTAAAAGTCTAGGTTGGACCCTGGCGGATATGTCCCTCATGGGGATGGATCTATCGTGGCTGCTTTCTTCCCCTCGCTGCTACCGTCCTGCCCTCCCCTAAGCCACTAGTCCAGACCTGCTGTCACAGCAGCCGTCTAACGCTGGTCTCCTTTCCTACCCTCCATTCCATTCTCAACACGGACACCAGCGACCACTGCTGCACGGAAGTCAGATCACAGCATCCCTCTGTCCAACATTCTCCAGGGGCTTTGCATTTCAATCAGTGTAAGTGTTAAAATCTCCCTAAAGTGACCTGTAAATAGGGCCAGCATGTGGAAGTTTGTCTAGGGCCATCAGGTCATACCTATTTTCCAGCCATAATTATTAATGCACCCTCTTTCATTCTTAAAATCGTGCCCAGGTGGATGCTAAGGTTTGCAGCCCATCTCTAGCCCAGCTGATTTCCCTGACCTCCTCATTGGGCCGTCCCTCGCCTCCACCTTCAGGAACACTCTCCCCTTCGCTCTTCTTTGACCCCATGGGAAGATCTTTCTCTGTTGCCTTCCAGCAGCTGCTTTGCTCTGGGCCTGGAGCACTCAGGTGTCTCATGCCCCCCCCCACTTTCAGCCTTTACCTAAGCGCAGCATTGTTCTCATAGGCTCCTCTAGCGCTTCATTGTTGTTAAACAGCAAGGGGTTTTTGTCTAAGTGCAGTTAGTTGCTGGTCACACAGAGATCCAATTATTGAGACAGTGAGGATTGCCAAGGAAGAAAGGAAAATTTAATACAACACAACTTGTTGGAAGAATGGAAGGAGCTGCCTCAAAATCTTACTAAATCATGGGCTTTGAAAGGAGGGGACATCTGCCTTGGGGCAGGTCATGACAAGGGCCTAAGTGCACTGGGGCAGGTTGTGGGGTGGTGAATCTTGGCCCAGGAAGTCTACCCTGGGGCCTTTAGAATCTGGACTCCTTTGTCTTGCAGAAAATTCACCATTTCTGGGGTCAACTCAAAAGGTCAAGTAGTGAGTTAAGGGAGAGGATTATATATGGGTCATTGAAATCTGTTCTGTGGGGGTCAGTTACTGTATGTCAAACTGCAACCTCTCCCTACCCCACTACTCCCTATCTTCCTGCTGTCTTTTCTTCTTCACACTCCTCAACATCCATGTGTGTGTGTGTGTGTGTGTGTGTGTGTGTGTGTGTGTCTGCCTCCAAGAGAACTGACGGCCCAGTGGGGATTCTGCTATGTAAATGAAGTCATACAGCATGTAATCTTTTTGAGACTGTTTTCACTCAGCAGAATTGTATGGAAACTCATTCAAGTTATTGCATATATCAAGAGTTTGTTTTATTGCTGTGGTAGTTGCTAAATAGCATCATATGATGTGGGTTATCAGTTTAACCTCTCACCATTAAAAGATAACTGGGTTGTTTCCAGATTTGGCTTGTACAAATACAGCTGTTATGAGCATTTATGTACAGGTTTTTGAGTGAGCATGAGTTTTTATTTCTCTTATATGAATATCCACCAGCACAACCGGACATTGTATCGTTGTTTCATGTTTAGTTTTCTAAGAAATGCCTAACTATTTTTCTATTTACCTTACCACCAGCAATGTATGCATTTTCCAGTTTCTCTCTACCCTCACCAGAATTTGATGCTACCAGTATTTTTAAAAATTATGTTACCCATTCTGATGGATCTTAATGTGGCTTTAATTTGCATTTTTCTAATGGGTAATGAAGTTGAATTTCTTTTCCTATGCTTTTGACATCTATATATCTTCTTCAGAGAAACCTCTGTTCATATTTTTCCTTCTTCAGGGAAATCTCTGTTCATATTCTGTTCATATGAACAGAAATCTCTGTTCATATTCATATTGTTCAAATCTCTATTCATTTGTGAACATAATCTCTGTTCACAATTTCTAACTGGACTGTATTTTTTTTCTGTTGAGTTTTAAAAATTATTTATACATGTTATAGATTCTAGAACTTTGTCATATATGTGCTTGCAAATATTTTTATCTCAGTCTATCATCTGTCTTTTCACCCCCCTAATGGAGTCATTTGTGGAGAAAAAATGTTTAATTCATTTATAGTCAAATTTTTCAATTTTTCTTTTAATCATTGTGCTTGGGTAGCATGTCTAACCCCACTTAGCTTAGCCTTAGATACCAAATATTTTCCCTACTTTTTTTACTAAAAATTTTATAATTTTCATTTTATGTTTTAGTTCATAATCAATTTTGAGAAAATGTTAGCATAAGGTATGGGATTTTAGTCAGGGTTTAATTTTTGTTTTCTCTATGGATGTCCAGTCGCTCTAGCAACATTTGTTGGAAAGGTTATTCACACTCCATACTCCAACTGCTGCTGCATCTTTGTCAAAAATCAGCTAGGCATATGTGTGTGGATCTCTTGCTGGGCTCCCTAGAAGATCAAGTGCTTTTTTTGCTTGTGAAAATATCTTTGTCCTCAAGTTGGTGATCTTAATTTGCAGAAACTGTTAGGGACTTGGGTTGAGGAAGCTTTCCTTCTGAGAGAATTTTATCTTAGCAGAGCAATAGGCTAGTAATATGGAAGAACATTAATATAAATTAATATTTTTTATTTGATGTTCCCTCTTTTATGCAGTAATTATCTTTTTAAAATAAGTTCGAGTTGAGATATTATCCACCACCAAGTCTACCCTGAGCCAGGGGCAACCATCTTTCCATGTAAGTTACTGGGCTTGACAAATGACTATTGTTATTTTAAGATTATGTGCTTACTCAGAGTGTACCCATTGAGGTCTCGTGGTCGGGGCCTACCTCAGAGACCCCTTGGCAAGGCTTTGTTTCCTACCCACTAGCACGGGGTCATTTGTGTCAAACATATTTGTATCTGGAAGCAGGATTTGCTCTAGGGCAGATCCACTTCCATTCTTACTTTCTTTGCTCTTTTAATCTTAGAATTTACTTTATTTAGCCCTTGGCAAATATCAGTACTTTCTCATGAGCTCAAGAGTGCACGCAATCTTATTTTTATGATAGAATATTTAGTATTTATAGAGTTTCACAGCAGAAAGTATTCCTAATGATTTCTTCTGTCAAACTGCCAAATTCAGTAATCCTAAGATTGTTTTTACCTTTTGTTGACAATCTGTATGAGGGCTTTTACCTTGCTGGCTAAGATCATTCAATATTGTTTTATACATTGCAGTTTGCTATGATCTCAATGTTTGTGTCACCTGAAAATTCACATATTGAAACCCTGGTGAATGAGATCAGTACCCTTACAGAAGAAACGCCAGAGAGCTGCCTTGCCCTTTCTGCCATGTGAGGACACAGAAGATCGCCATCTATGAATAAGGAAAAGGACCTCACCAGACACCACGTATGCTGATGCCTTTATCTTGTACTTCCCAGTCTCTATAACTACACAAATTTCTGTTATTTATAACCCATCCAATTTATGGTAGTTTGTTCTGGTAGCTCAAATGAACTAAGACACAAGTAAGCCACATTGTCCACAACTTACAGTTGTTGGCTCTTTGATTAGAGGATAATTTGGTTAATTTTTTTCATCTTCTTGCTTTATCCTTTCTCCTCTGATTACTTACTATTCTTTTGGTCATGACTCCATATGCTCATGTTATCATGTTGCCTATAACATTCTACACATCAGTACTTCAGAATTTATATTTTGACAATGACCAACTCTCCTATTGGAGTAGAATCTAATCACCTTTCTTATTTCCATGGGAAAATCTTTAATATGAATGAAAATTTGGGTTAATATTTAGTGCATGAATTTGAAATAAACTAAAAAACTAAAGTATGTAATATTTTGCCTAAATCTGTGGTATTTTAATTAATCTGTGTGAAAATGATATCTTGTCATTCTGCAAAATGCAGCCCCCAATGCCAGAGATGTTGAAGCATTATTCTGAAGTATGGATTTCATATCTCTGTATTCGATAAGCACTCCAGGTGATTCTAATGCAGGTGTTCTCAGATTCATTTTTTAAGAAAGATTGCCAATATTAAACCTCCAGGAAGTTACTTATAACTTGCCATAAAACCCAGATTCACTGCAGAAATTTCTCTGTATATAATTTCTTGAATTCGGAGAACCTGAGCGTTTATAAACAAGGTCCTGTTTCTTTAGGAGCAGTTAGCAGCTTGCATCAACCTGTTTGGAAGTGTGTTTTATCACCCTAGGACCACCAAAGCAGAGTCTAGACTCCGGAAAAAAATAGATCATTTTGTCTAGGAGAGAGGTAATTCAATTTGTCTCCTATCAAGAAGGCAGAAGAAAACCCTAAAAAACAAACCCCAGAAAAGTTAACAAAATTTGACCTTTGCGTCTAAATTCCTAAACTCAAAGGCCAGCTTTGTTTTACCATCAGAATCAGCTCAGGAAATTATTTTAATCTTTTCCAGCTAATTATTGCTGTATGTGTAAAATGAGACAAGAAAATGTCCTGTATCCTAGGATGATAGAAAGGTTAGGCAACATTTATTCAGTACAGAGCATTCAGCTTGGTTCAGAAGAGGTGATCACCAAACATTAACTAGTAGGGTTATACCATACCACTCAAGTAATGTATTATCTGTGATGGAAATAGGGTTTTAAATATATATCTCTAGTCTCTGAATAACCGTCTTGAACCTTCAGTGAGACAACTGTTAACGTGCCAATTAATGTGTCAGGTGCCTCAAATGCAGATGCCAACCCAATGCGTGCACCCTGTCCCAGGACTAAAAGCTTTCCAGGAAGTTCTTGAACAACCTTTGGAAGGTCTTATTTGGCCAGAGATACATTTTCCTTACAGAGAGTTCATGGAGATCTGGGATCTCTTTCTCACCATGGACTAGAAAGCATTTAAGCCTGGTAACTGCAAAGGACCTTACATGTGACATTGATCTCTCATCTCCTGAATTATGGAAGTGAAAGAAGTCGCCAGACTGCAACTTTGGGTAATAAAGCCAGGAAGGAAAGGTGAAGAAAATATTTATTTCAGCACTTAAAACAATATGAGGTCTGTTCTAGGCCCTTCGGTTCCCTAAACATCATCTAGGTGCTCATAAACAAAGTTACTTATATCCTGTTGGATGAGACATTTGACTAACTGAGGGGAAAAAAACCCTAAGTCATATTCATTTATACATTTTTATTAGGAGAAATTTCCAGTGTGTAAAAAAGAAAAGAGTAGTGTGCTAACTGCCAGTGCACCCAGGTTAAACAACTGATAACTCACAACCAGTCTTGGTCAATTTATGATACCAATTGTGGCACCAATTGTGGTACTTTTATCCCTATCCAGCATCAACTTTTCATAACTTTGCATTATAAAAATATGTAAAAATGCACATAAGTAATATGCACAATTTGATGAATAGTGACACACGTATAAACCTATAAAACCATCACCACAATAAAGATAACGCAGATTTCTTTCTTTAACTCCCCAGTGTTTTCTCCTGCTCCACTGTGTTTCCACCTTCTGTATCCATCCCTCCCAACTCCTTTTCTGAAACTACCATTGCTCTGCTTTTTTGTAACTATAGATTATTTTGTATTTTATATAAATGAAAATATATAGTATATGTCCCCGTTTGTGATCTGCCTTTCTTGGATTTAGTATAGTTATAGTATTTTGAAACACATGCTTAAGTTTTGCATGTATCAGTAATTTGTTGCTTTTTATTGTACTAAGTTTCCTTATCCAGTCACCTGTTATTAGACCTTTAACTTGGTGAAAATGTTCGACTCTGAAAAATAGAGATTCTGAATGTTAATGTACTAATTTTCCTCTGGACATGTATTTTTATTTCTCTTGGATTTCCCCTAGGAGTGGAATTTCTAGATCATACAAATTATTATTTTAGTGGGTGTGTTTTTATCCTTTTAAACAAGTCACCAAGCTCTCTTCAACAGTGGTTCTGCCATTTTACAATTCCACCAAGAATGTGGATGAGTTCGAGTTGTTCCATATTCTTAGCAACACTTGATATGTCCAAATTTTTCAATTCAAGCCATTTTAGTGGGAATGTGGTAGAATATATTGAGTTTCATTTTATTCACTCTATAATGAATAATGTTTGAACATATATTAATATGCCTCATTGCCATCCATATATTTCTTTTAGTGAAATGTTTGTTCAAATAAGTAGTTTTTCAATAGGGTGATTTCTGTTTGTATTTTTGAAGTATACATATTTCTAATAATTCCAGATAAGAATTCTCACCTGGATACATATTTTGAAAATATTTTCTCACTGCTTAATCATTTCACTTTCTGAACCATGTGTTTTCTTTTAATAAATTTCAATTTATCTATATTCTTCCACTTGTGCTTCATGAATTTTTTGCCTATTTAAGAAATCTTTTGCCTAGGCAAATGTTCCTAATGTTTTCTCTCGTGCTTCCTTGGAGTTTAATAGTTTTTGCTCTTGAATTTTAGTCCATAATTCATTTTAATTTTTTGTACATGGGGTGATAAAGCAAGGTTCATTTTTAAATAATCTGTCACAGCAAGATTTGTTGATAAAAATACATTTTTCCATATTAAATCCCCCTGGCATCTTTGTTGAAAATCAATTGGCAGCTCATGTCTATTTCTGAACTCTTTATTCTATTCCATTGGTCTGTATGCCTATTTTATAACAAAACCATACTGTCAGACTTACTGCTCCATCATAATAAGTATTAAAGTATGGTAGTACATGCTCTTTAACTTACCTATTTTCCAAAGTGTTTTGGGGAATTCTAGGTCCTTTGACTTTTTGTATAAATATGACAATCAACATGTCTATTTCTATAAAAAATGTGTGCTGAGATTTTATTTGGTTTCATCTTGAATATGTAGACCAATTTGAAGAAAATTGGCATGTTAAAGGTATTGAATCCCTTGATCCATAAGCATGGTATATCTCTCCACCTATTTAGATTTTTTAAATTTTGCCAGCAATGTGTTTTAGGTTTTAATGCAAGGAACTTGACATTTTTTGCCAAATTTATCCATCAGTATTAATATTTTATAGCATTATAAATAGCTTCATTTTGCAATTAATTTTAAAAATTTTATTGTTAATAGAAACACAATTGATTTTTATATATTGATCTAATTTCTTAAAATCATGCTATATTTGCTTACTAATTCCAGTATCATTTTGGTAGACTACGTAAAATTTGTTACATAAAAAATTATATGTTTCTTTAAAACAATTTCCTGCTTTTTCAGTATTTGCCAAGACCCATATTGCAATATCAAATAGACATGGTGAGAATAGACATTATTTCTTTATGTCTCATGTCGTGAGGAAAGCAGTTAGTCTTTCATCATTAATATTAGACTCTCTATAGGTTTTTATAGATGCCCTTTTTAGGAAGTTCCTTTACATTACTATTTTGCTGAGCTTTTAAATATAATGACTTGGTGAGTTTTGTCTGATTTTCCTGTATTTGTTGAAATGATTATATACCAACTAAGTTGGTATGGAAATTACATTCAATTGATTATCATATGGTATACCAAACTAGCATTTCAGGGATAAACCACGCTTGAGCATGGTATATTATGTTTTCATGTATTGTCAAATCTGGCTTGTTAATTTTGATTATTAATTAATTTTAAAATTATAAATTAATTTTTAAATTTATGTTTACAATGGATATTGATCTATAGTTTTCATTCTTATAATGCCTTTGGTTTGATATCAAGATAATGCTGGTTTCATAGAATACATTGGGACATGTTTCCTCCTCTTCTGTGGAAGAGATTGTAGAAAATTGATATTATTTCTTTTTATATTTTGGTAGAATCCCAAAACAAAGACCTTAAATTTTGCTTTATGGGAAATTTTAAATTACAGAATTAATTTGTTTAAATTAAAGAACTTTCAGGTTGTCTATTCTGTGTAAGTTTTGGTGGATTTTGTCTTTCAAGGAATGTTTCCATTTCATCAGAGTTCTCAAATAAATTGGAGTGGTTTCTCTAGAATTCCCTTATTATCCTTTTAATGTCTGTAGGAGCAGTAGCAGTGTCCCTCTTTTCATACCTCCTATAGGTAATTGGTGGCCTCCCTCCTCTTTTTATCTGTCTGGCTACAATTTTGTCAGTTTCTTGATGTCTAAACACCATCTTTTGATTTCATAGAGTTTCTTTGTTGTTTTCTGTTTATTTCCGCCTTATCTTCTTTTGTTTATTTCCTCTCATTTTCTTTGGCTTACTTGGTTTTGACATACTGCCTTTTCCTATTTCCTTAGATATCCTCATAGAATACTGTTTTTTAAAAATTTTATTTAATTTTTTAAATTGATATAGTTGTACATATTTGGGGGCATATTTAATGGTTTGATACATTTTAAACAGTATTTCTAAGGTAAATATGTACATGTAATATTTAAATTTTCTCCAAAGTACTGCTTTAATTGTGCCCCACACATCGAGATTTTCTTAAACTTCATTATTTTTTCTAATATCACTTTTGATTTCTTCTTTGATCAATATCAAAAAACTAGAAATATATTTTTTATTTCATGAACATTTAGTGATTTTAAAGATGTCTTTCTGTTATTAATATTTAGTTTCATTCTATTATGGTCAAAGAACATACTTTTATGTTTTTAATTCTTTTAAATTTATTGAGAATTATCTTAAAACTAAAAATATACATTTAATTTGGGGGATATTTTCATATACACTTCAAAACAATGTATATTGACCTTTTAGGGGGTGGAAAATTCTGTAAAATATTCAAGTTGATTGACAGTTTTATTCAAATCTTCTATAACTTTACAAATAAACTTACTGATATAAATTATTATGAGTGAATTTTTGAAATTGCAATTCTCATTTTAGTTTTTTATATTTCTTCTGTCACTTTAAATTTTGTACTTAACATATTTTGAAGCTCTCTAGTTAGATAAATATTTATTGGTGGCCCATTGCTAATATTACTTTTTAAGAAAAAGTAAAAAATACGGATTTGACTATTATAATTATAAGGTATCTAGTTTATTGGTCATATTTTTATATGATAGGAGTTGATATTATCTATAATATTTGACTGTTTTATACTAAAAAACAAATCCCCTCTTCCTACCACTTAACAACACTGTGTATCTTAGCTCCTTTTGTCTTAAAAGAATCAGTGAAATTTTTAGAGAAATTTAACTTTTTTTCAGTAATTAGAAAGGACAGAGGTGATTAATTAATATCCAAATTATCATTTAAAGTTAACCTACCCTCTATATTATCATTAATAACCTTTCAGATATTAATACTTAAAAAATTATTTCCAATGTTATTTCATTTCAAGAAGATATCAGGTGTCTGTGTGCTTCATTTGCTCTTCTGTATGAGTGAATCTTGGGAAGGATGATGGGTAGTTCCCGGGCCCAACTTGGAGTTAAAGTAAGATGCAAAGAGATTTAAACTACAAGTGTAATTCTGTGTTCAAGACACCAGGACACGAACTCAAAAGTCATTCCCCACAAGAGCGAGATCCATATCCTTAGAAGAAGATGATGTCGACAAGACTTTCACCATCTAATGCAATCTTTTAAAAATTTTCTTCAAGTGCACAATACAGTATTGTTAACTATAGGCACAACGTTGCACAATTAGAGCTCTATTACTTTTTAATGTTGCAAAACTGAGATGTTACATCCTTTGGACAGCTCTCCATTTCCCCCTCCTCAACCCCTGACAACCACCATTTTTTTTGTTTCTATCAGTTTGACTATTTTAGAGACCTACTATAAGTAGAATTTTGAAGCATCTGTTCTTCTTTGACTGGCTCATTTCGCTTAGCAGAGCATCCTCCAGCTTCAGCCACGCTGTTGCAGGTAGCAGGATTTCCTTCTCTTATTCGTATTCCTTTGTGTGTATATACCACATTTTTAAATTCATTCATCTGCCATGAAAACTTAGGTTATTTCCATAACTGGCTAATTGTTAGTAATGTTGCAATGTACATGGGATTACAGATATATCTTTGAGGTCACAATTTTAATTGTTTGGACACATATTAATATATACCCAGAAGTCAGATTGCTAGATTATAATGTAGTTCTGTTTTTAATTTTAGGAAAATATACATACTGTTGCAGCTACACCATTTTACACTCCCACCATAGTGGGAGTGTATATTTAGGAAAATATACATACATATTGTATGTAATATACATATATACATATTGTGTGTATGAAAATATACATACATACATATTGTATGTATGAAAATATACATACATATTGTATGTATACATACATACATATATGTATATTTAGGAAAACATACATACATATTGCAGCTACACCATTTTACACTCCCACCATAGTGTACAAGGGCTCCAAATTATTCACATCTTTGCCAACATTTACCTTTTTAAAAAAAATAATAGCCATGCTAACAGGTATGAGTTAATATCTCATTGTTTAAATCTAAATGAAAATTTAGATTTTCATTTCCCTGTTGATTTTTAGTGTTGAACATCTTTTTATACAACTGTTGGCCATTTTTATGACTTTCTGGGGGGGGGTACTATCTATTCAAGTCCTTTACCTATCTTTAATCAGGTTATTATTATTAATATTATTGCTATTCTGTTTTTCATAAAGATCAATCCAGTGGAAAAAAAACTTAGCTGGATTGACTAAAAAAACATAAGAAGACTCGGAGGTGAACCAAGATGGCAGATGAGAAACACCGCCATACAGAGTGTCTCTGCAGAAAAGACAGATTCTAGCAGAAATTAGAAGAAGCAAGAAGACAACCATACATTGGATGAGGGTCAGAGGAGGGGTACTTAAGACCACGGGGGACTACATGGGAGGAGGTGGTGGAGGAGAACTGGAAGCAGAAACCTCCGGAACAGCCTGGAGACCAGCAGCAAGAGTAGGTGAAGCAGTTAACGTTCCCCTCCCTTGCAACTCGGATTGTTGGTGGGCTCCCCAGCGGTGGAGAGACCTGTGAACACCAGGCCAGAGACGGCCACTGCCAGTGAGCAGTAAGCCTGTAGCAGACGCGGCACCAGGCTCCCAACTCCCGCAGGGCATTTCCCTGTGCACAAACCCAGCTGCACGGCAGGCGCCATATTGCCTCATTCTCCCCTCCCACAAACCTATCCGGGGCTGCCGAGAGAGACAATATAGACACGAGCCGGAG